TACATGATACTGGGTACATGATACTGGTTACAGCATACTGGGTACAGGATACTGGGTACAGGATACTGGAACATCTTCTTGAATAAGCAATCAAATAAGTACTTATGGAACATATTCTCAAATAAACACTTCTTGGACATATCTCGAAAATTATGAATGAATTTTGATTGTCAATTGAAACATTAATCAATCTAATATTATTTAGAATGCAGAAAATAAGTTAAAATAACTTCATTTTGACGAGAATTTTTTTTTATAATTTTCATGAAAAATTTGCTGAAATGAGTGAAAATTTAAAAAAAACGGTGTATTTTCCAGGATAAAAATCCGTACAATCCGTACAATTTGAAAACAAATCCGTACAATCCGTACAATTTTAGGGTTAAAAAAAACAATCCGTACAATCCGTACATTTTGGCCACCCTGAAACTTTCCTGGACTACAGGGAGTGAGCTGATGATTTTTCAAGAAAATATAAACCCCTGGATTTAATTTAATGATGTACTGTACCTGCATGCCGGTGCTGAGGGCTATGAATGCATGCTTGAAGGATTCCGAGGTTTGACCAGGGAACTGATGTCTGATCATCTGCAATTCATGTCGGAAACTTTTTTTATGAGTTTCCCAATCCTCAGCAGACCTTCAATATTTCCAAGATTAAATTAAGAATTTTAATGAAACTTCAGCAATCCAAACTTTAAATACAAAACGATTGCAACGTACCTAAACATTCGTTTCGCTTAAATTCCAATTTAAGGAAAAATGAAAAAATGAAAAAAATATCAACAACATTTTATTTGACAAAAGTATAACAAGGTTTTGTAATAACAACAATTAAATTTTAATATAAGGGGTACCAAAACATCTTGCCCCACAATTTTGTTCCATAATTGTGTCGGTTTGAAGGTATTTAAGATATTCTAGCTTTTACTTTTTAGAATTTTAGAATAACTCTTTAATATACGTAGCGAATAAAACCCTTCAATTAGGTACTGCTCCGCGCAAACAAAAATGATTTTAAAAATGGGGGAATAATTTTTCAAGAAAATATATATCCCTGTTTTACCTTGTGTTCTGCTGATTTAAAACAACTGCTGCAACTACTACTATAGCTGCTAATAATAGTGCAATGACCCAAACTGATGAAAGGGAACTCTTTTCCTAAAATAACCTTATCTTTTAGCTCTCTACAGACAGACCTCCTCACAAAAAAAAAACATTCATTTTACCCAAAATGTAGGTTTTTAAATTTCTTGAGAAAAAGTTTTTCATTTTTTTTTACTTAACTTAACTGAACTAACTGTGTTTGTAGATTCTAATTGCATTTAGTAATAACATACTATAAAATAAATGGACCAGGTCGGTGGTTCAATTAAACACTCAAAATACATTAAAAGGGTACATAGTTTTCTAATCAGCTTTGTTTGCTTCTTTGAAAAAAATGTCCTACCGGTAATGGAGTAGGCTCCGTAGAAGTAGGTCTCCTAGATTTTATGTTTGTGTGCCCAGCACTCCGGCTCATACTTCGGCTCCTTTAAAAACAATATGAAAAAAACATGAATAATAATAATAAATAAATTCTAAATCGAATTCTATTTCTATCTAAGGCTTCGAGTGGCTTACACCTCTTTCAGACAGTTAGCTCAAGGTTGACCAGTTCTTTTAGTCAGAAACCGGATTTAAATTGCATTTCTGTGGAGAACGGTATTTATCAAATTCTCTCGAAAAACTTTGGCTAGAAATGTAAATATTCCCGTAGATTCATTCTATTATTTATTGCACACATTCACGTTAAACACCCACACTTTTTAACCTTCATTACCTGTTAATACTGTCCCCGACAAATCTAGTTTTTCCAGACGGCTGATCAACATCAGACTAAGGAAAGTTCAAGTATATAAGCAGTAAGCAGCCCCCCCACCCTGCAAAATTATTCTGCCAACCAGTTTTAATTTTAGCATAAAAGAACAGCAGTAAATCAACAACGAAGAATAATTGTAATTAATGTAAAAAGTCATTATTCCCCCAAAAAAGTTACTAGAAAATCCTTTTCAAATTGTGAATTTTTTTCCATTGGTATTTAAAGTGGCAATATTGGAAAGTAATGAAATGTTATTTATCCAATATATAGCCTAATTACCTCTTGAGAATCACCTGCGCTATTAGATACTAAAGTTTTGCTTCTGGTCTCCCTAAGAATAAAAATCATGAACCTTGGGCTTTAATATTTTAAGGGACCAATTAAATAGAAAACAATGTTCTTGTTTTAGTGATGCCAAAATTTGTTGGACTTCTAAATCAGTAACAAGTTAGCATAAAAATATATCTATATATAAAATAAGACATTCGTATATGTGTTCCATATAGCCGGCCAAACGGCTTAACCGAATGGGCTGGAATTTTTTTAGGGAAACCATGTATCTTCAAAAATCGTTTATTTCCATTTTTTTTAAATTCCACGGACAATGTCGGGCCCTTCAGCTAGTCCATGATAAAACCAAAATCTTACTTTGTTTTGGATTTGTTGAGCTTAGAACTAGGATTTTGTTTATCTTTGTCTGGAGATGATAGTTTAGATTTGGACGCGGACTCCATCTTACTCTTGTTCCTGAAAAAAATCCGAGTTTTAAGGGAATTTAAATTGACGTTCCAATAAAAAGGTATGTTTTTAATTTTGTTTATAAGTTTGAAGATTGGTTATTTATAAATGTGCAAGTCACTAAAAAGAGAAATCACAATTAAAAATAATCAATTGTCAAAGGGAAGATGATCTAGGGTGTATTTATTCTAAAATATCCATTTTTACAGAAATTCGTTCGTCTATTTCTCAAAAATATAAGTTTTTTTCTTGTACTTCATATTCTGAGATCAGTACTTTAAATCCTAGGATTAGTACTCCAGACCCAGGATTAGTACTCCAGACTCTGGGATTAGTACTCCAGACTCTGGGATTAGAACTCCAGACCCTGGATTAGTACTCCAGACCCAGGGATTAGTATTCCGGACCCAGGGATTAGTACTCCAAACCCTTAAATTAATTCCCCAGACCCTGTGATTAGTACTCGACATCCAAGGAATAGTACTCAAAACGCTTATCATCCCCCCTTCCCTCTCTTCCAGGAACTATAAAATAAGATAAGATAAGATCTGACTAGACTGAATCCTAAAAAACTCTGAATTAATTTATTTATTAATTTTTTCACTTTACGTGAGCTGCGAATATTATATTGAATATTGTAACTACTGAACAGCTGTTGAAATACTGTGAATCATCAAATGTTAGTTTAAGATAAGAAGGAATGCAAAATTTGAATTGCCTGAAAATAAAAAGAGGCATATAGAAACTGTCATGGAAATTTCAAGTGATCCTTCTCTATGAGGGGCGGGCAGGGGGTACCATTTTGCGCAAGTACCTTTTGTAGAGAACCCATAATTGAAAGTAATGAATTTTTGACAAGTTAAACATGGATATTGGATATAGCATTCATTCTACTGAGAATCAATTGAAATCAATATATATCATTTGTTTGCTCAACTTTTTATATTTTCAGTGAAAAAATAAATATGGATATCGCATTCAATCTTGATCATTCCAAGCTCTTAAAGGTACCATTGTGAATCTGATGTCTGACAGTGGATCTTAATTTGAAATAACGACTACGAAATTTACAACAATGGTTAGTTTTTAAATTACTTTTGAATTCTCCGTTCCATTCATATACACACAAGTAACCCCCTCCCCAAATAACTTTTATTTTAAACCATTTTTCCGAAAAACAATAATTTGCAAAATAGTTTTGATGAAGTTTCTCAGGTTCTTTTTGCTGTTATGCTCCATACAAATCTGTTTTAAAGATATTAAAATTTCAAAATTGGTATTCTTAATATGTGGATACTGATTTAATTTGAAGGCACGATACACCTACCTAGAGAGATTTGGTGAACCCCCGTATCCTGGACTAGAGATATTACTGAAGTTGGGAGTTTCTGATTGATTCGGAGTATTCTTATCCAGGAGGGTTGATTCAGTTATCGTTCCAGGCGGAGATACTTCTACAATAGATACATGATCATTGATTATTTCAGGTGGAGATACTTCTACAATTTATATATGATCATTGATCATTTCAGGCGGAGATACTTCTACAATATATACATGTTCATGATCATTAATCCTACCAGACGGAGATTCTTTTCTAAAATATATACACGATCATTGATCATTGTCATTGATCATTACAGGCGGAGATACTTCTACAATAAAGAATCAAAAGGTTAAATCTGAAAGCCCCCCACCCCCCATACAGCCCAAATTTTTATTTTGAATAATCTTTTTGTTTGTTTATCTTCTTGTGATTTTTACATTTTTTTAATTTTTTATCGATTTGATGGTTATTATATCATTAGAACTGACGAGGGTCAACCCAGACCGAAATATATTTTCAATAAATGTGGAACTAACATCTACTTTTTTACTCTACAGAGGTTTGGTCCATCACCATCACTGAATTTTAAATAGAAACATGATCATTGATCATCAATCCTACAAGGCGGAGTTACTTCTATAATTGATACTTGATACTAAAAGATCACATGAAAGAATTTTTTAAGTACCATTTGTCGCTGCTAAATATTAATTTATTACTAAGAATATTATGAAGAAGAGGGTGAAATGATTCTATCATCATCCAAATCCCTGGAATTGTATGCTTGCCAATTAATTTTCTTATGGGTAAAAATTCTCCTAAATGCGTCTAGAATTGTTGTGAGTAACGTCTCAGTTCTATACGAGTAGCTTGATCTCCCAATTTGCATGATCTTGAGGGGGGCGGTTCTATACGTGTACTTTGCTCTAGAGGGGGGAACAGTTCTTTACGAGTACCTTGACCTCCCATTTTGCTTGATCTAGAGGGGGGAACAGTTCTTTACGAGTACCTTGACCTTCTTTTCTGCTTGATCTAGAGGGGGGAACAGTTCTTTACGAGTACCTTGACCTTCTTTTCTGCTTGATCTAGAGGGGGGAACAGTTCTTTACGAGTAACTTGACCTCCCATTATGCTTGATCTAGAGGGGGAACTGTTCTTTACGAGTACCTTGACCTTTTCTGCTTGATCTAGAGGGGGGAACAGTTCTTTACGAGTAACTTGACCTCCCATTCTACTTGATCTAGAGGTGGAAGCAGGTTCTATACGAGTACCTTGATCTCCCAAATTGCATGATCTAAAGAGGGAGCAGGTTCTATACGAGTACCTTGATCTCCCATTCTGCTTTATCTATAGAGGGAACAGTTCGATACGAGTACCTTGATCTCCCACTCTGCTTGATCTAGAGGGAGGAGCAGGTGTAGCATAGGCGGCAATGGATTTCCTAGGCTGTACACCAATTGTTTATTTTCGAAGCAACAAAATCCCGATTATAGTTTAATCTCTGCAATCTTTAATGCGTCTTTTTCACAGCGGAAGATATATATTTTTCTTAATCTTCCAATTAAAAATCAGTCACACGAAAAAAAGGTTTTAAATTAAGACGCAAATCATGAGAAGTCTTTATATTGTTCGGCTCATAAAATTAAATCTAGCTAAGAAAATATAAGACTTATTAAAAAATGAGGAAAATAAAATTAACTGTTATCAGTAGTTTTGTATTTGGATATTGTTAATTATGAACGTTAGTTCATCTCGATATCCAAAGTGGACACCTTTAAACTTGAGGATCAATGCTAGATCCCTAAATTAAGGGTATCCCTGTAGGATATGACTTCAAGGAATTAAATTAATCCGTAAATCTGAATAAGAAGGAGATTATTGGTAAATGATTGATCCTGAGATCCAAAACACAAAAATTTAGACTTTTAAAAACCTATCACGAAAATCTAAATACAAAAAAAAGAAACCTGTTTGAGTATATGAAAGGAATAAAGTTTAAGGGGAGAAAATCTAAATACAAAAAAAAAGAAACCTGTTTGAGTATATAAAAGGAATAAAGTTTAAGGGGAGAAAATCTAAATACAAAAAAAAGGAACCTGTTTGAGTATATAAAAGGAATAAAGTTTAAGGGGAGAAAATCTAAATACAAAAAAAAGGAACCTGTTTGAGTATATAAAAGGAATAAAGTTTAAGGGGAGAAAATCTAAATACAAAAAAAGGAACCTGTTTGAGTATATGAAAGGAATAAAGTTTAAGGGGAGAAAACCAATTTAACAATATAAACTATACATTGGTTAAAGTTCAAACCCGCGAATCTTTCTAACCGAATCTTTGACCGAAAGAAGTTTATTTTTTTTTTAAATCCAAAGACTGATTAAATCCAATATAGTTTCAGAAATGAACAGCCAAAACCAATGGGATTGAAATTCAAGTTAAAGATAAAAAAATGTATGAGTTTGCCTTGCAGAATTCCAAAAAAAACTTTTTAAAATTGTTCAAGATTTAATAAAGAAAGAGTTCATATTTTTCTTTCCACTTCGAAGTTTTCAACTTAAAGCTGAACACAAAATTTAATCAACAACATTTAATTATCAATCTTATTTCTGGATAAAATTAAATAACTGATCAATAGTCAAGAAATATTTATAAACATGGTTTCCTGAAGATTTTGACGTGGAGAATCAAACTGTTCCATTTTAAATACTGAAATAATATTTATCTACATTATATAATTAACTTAATTAGAAAATGTACAATAAATAGCCAAGCTTAGAAACTAGGATGAGACGAAGAAGAACCCCCTCCCCCCCACTCCAATTTGATAGCTAAGGATAAAAAACCGCAACATAATTCTTTTTTAAATTTAGTTAAAAAGCAGGCAAAAAATGTAGTTTGAATTCTTTTTGTTAAAATATTCTAATATTTTAATAATAAAAATGTTCTCCTCCCCCGAGTATGCATACCTTCAACTAACAACATTTAAAGTCAGATTTCGCCGTTATTTTACAGTTTCATAATTATAATTATAACGATCACATTTGTCAAACTTTTTAAATCAATATTCTCCAGTAGGAACAAATTACCGCGTACAAATGAATTCATTAAAATCTACCAGAAGTGCATCAGAAAATTACTGAATTACATATTTTTAAATCTAACACTTCCCTGAAATACAACGGCGATTTAAACTTAATAAAATCAAAACTTTTGGCAGAACTCGAAACTATTTTTTCCCGACATAAAATATGTTGAAGTCACAAAGTTGGTTCAGTTTTACATACAACAGATCATAAAAAATCTTAAAAAAGATACGATTATAATCACATGGTTAGTTTTTCAATAACCCCTTTCCTTCCTGAACCCATAATTGTCAAAGCCAAAATCATTATCTCACTAAAAGCGATACAAGTATTACAGTATGTGATCTCCATACAGGTTTCAGAGTTTCACCTTATTCGTAATTTGTTCTATTTTACTGTTATCCTTAGCTATCCCCCCCTCCCCGCCCCACACATCCCCTCATTTAAAAACCAGGTAGTCAATAATTTTCCTTGAAATTGCATCTTTAAAAATTGAATTAAATTAGTTTAAGTTTCTCGAGTTTGGTTACTTACATATTTATTGATCTAAAGTAATCATACCAATATATATATCATCTTACCATTTTAATTTCGTTACATCTTAATGTAATAAACTGAATTAATTAAAAAGCATAAAAAAGGATGGAAAACTAGGACTGAACACTTTAACACAATATAACTCATGACACTTGATCTCATAAATCTGATCAATTAACAAAATCTAAAAATATTTTCATCAAGTATGATACAATTAGAAGGGGAAAATCCATTTCATGGTGGAACAGAGCTGGAAAAAATAAAAATACATTAATTGTCAAAAAGATAAATGGTTTTTCTTACAGCTAAACTGGTTGAATAGTGGATTAAGACCGAATTTGTTCTGCGTAAACGCACCAAAGAGATTGAATATTCAAGTGAGAAGTTTGGGTTGCAGATCTAGCAAAATCTTACTCCTTCTCTTACACTTTATATAAACTAATGATTACAGGGCTTAGAACTTATAAAATATCGTTGAAATACCACCACAGTGTGGTTTCTATTCCACCCATTATCCAAGAATGAATTAAAAGTTGAATTTGAATATTTCAGCCTATAAACTATGTTGTTGTTGAAAACTGTAGACAAGGGTAGACATCCTATTTGTTTTCTAGTTCTTCCAAGGCTGAAGAGAAGAGCTGGTTGCTCTCAAGTATGAATAACATAAGTTTAAGCAGAATGAATGATGGTCGAAACAAAATATGTAGGTGAGTCAAGAAACAATGATTATGAGCTGTGTACGCAATTTAGGAATGCGTACATGCGTAATCCATTCTAGGGATCGAATAGTATTGAAAAACACTGCTATTAAATAACGACAATACATGGTTAGATAAATCAGATTTTGGTTAAACCAGGAATCTTTGAAAGGTTTCTGGTTTCTGTAAACACACATACACGCGTTTTAAAATTTTCCTTATTTACAAATAACTGAAGGTATTTAGCAAAAGCAGTGAATAGAAAATATATATATAAACAGCCGAGCAACTGAACAGCAGAGCATCTGTCTGCCACAGTTTGCATCGAGTTGGCGGACAATGTGACCATGTGGCTGACGAAGTATGTGAAGACCCCGTCGAGATCACAAGAGATTAAGATCACTGAGTTGAAGGATCGGAATGTAGTTTACTCCAACTGTATAATGTATATTGCAGGTCCATGTTGACTACACGGAGCAAGGATAGAAGTTCAGATTTCTCGATCAGAATGTAAGTTCGGTACAGTTCAAAGCTTAGGCTTGAAACTCGAGACATTCTCCGACAAAATCTATCCCTCTAACATCCTTGTCATTGGCGTAGGTTCCTATTGCCCGCATAGCTGAGTCGACGTCAGTATAACTGACTGTAACCCTCTTTACTGCGTTCTTAGCTCCACCCTGGTGAACCTTCACTAGTTCTCCGTGCCGTGAGAACTCGTTGGTAATTTCCTTCACACCTGACATCCCTGTGTTGATGAACTCTATGGAGTAGTTTCCGTCCTTGTCCGGTACTACCCTCATGGGAGGAGCAACTCCTAGACTGGGATACTGAAAACAAATGAAAGATTATTAGAAATTCGTTAAATCTTTTAAATATTCAAAGCTTGGAAATACAAGAAAAATATCATGGTTTCATAAATTGATGAAAAATATGGCCGGACGTCTAATTAAATATGACGTGACCCCCCCCCCCCATTTCTCAGAAGAAAAAACAAGCCTCATAAGAGGCGGGGCCGGGGTCATAAGAAGAGGCCCCAAAAAAGGTAAAATTAAAAAATACCTTTTGTAAGAGTGAAGTATCCCGGAGGCATGCTAACGCATCCTTCTCTTGTTCAAAACTAACAACTATTGTAGATTCAGCTCGACCAAGTTGACCTCGAACTCGAGAAACCTAAAAAATATAAAATTAGTTAACAAAAAAATTGGAGAATTATTTATCTTTGATAATATTGAATTATTAAATAGTTTCCTTACCTCGCCAACGAGATTGAAGTCCAGCTTGATTTTCCTCTCTGAGAGATCTTTAGATTTACAAATGAAACTGAGGGAATAAAGAGAAAACATATCTTTGGCGATAAAAGTAACTGTAGGTTGAGAAACTATGTTGTGTTGTTGATTGGAAGGTTCTGATATATCCGCTGGTATTTGCGTTGTTATTTCAAGCTCATCTGATGAATCTTCGCTACCCTACATAACAAATCAAAATTAACAAATATGGAGGGTTAAACTTATTGAAAATAGAGGGTTCTTTTTAACTAGAATCTACTACAGGTTTATCTGTGATAAACAGAAAACACATAAGATTTATACAACTTGTTTCTTGTTTCCATCAAATCTGCCATAAATGGCATCTTTGTCCATAAAATCTGTCATAAATAGCATCTTAGTCCATAAAATCTGTCATAATAGCGTCTTTGTTAATAAGCTCTGTCATAAATAGTATCTTAGTCCATTAAATCTGTCATAAATAGAATCTTTGTCCATAAGCTCTGTCATAAATAGCATTTTTGTCCATAAGCTATATCATAATTAGCATCATTGTCCATAAGCTGTAATAAACAGCATCTTTGTCCATAAAATCTGTCATAAATAGCATCTTTGGCCGTAAGCCCTGTCATAAATAGTATCTTAGTCAAATAGCATCTTTGTCCATAAGCTGTCATAAATAGCATCTTTGTCCATAAGTTCTGTCATTAATAGCATCTTAGTTCATAAAATCTGTCATAAATAACATCTCAATCCATAAGCTCTGTGATAAATAGTATCTTAGTCTATCAAATCAGCCACAAAGTGGCCAAAATCTTTCGGGATGAACCCTTTGTCACCGACAACTGTTTATTACCTGTGAGCTCTCTCTATTCTCCATTAAAGAAAGATTACTAATGTCCGCCTCCAACTGCTCCTGTCTAGGATCTTGTCTACGATCCTCCTTCTGTGGAGTTGAGTACATCTGTGGGTTTCCAGGTGGACTCATCATTACTCCTGGTGGGGGCCCGACCATAGAGGGAAGAAGAATAAGGGGTCGGTTACCCTGGAAGTTAGAATTAGAAACCATATTTGGCGGCGGCTCGTTCATATTTGGCGGCGGATGCTGGGCAATCTCCGTCTCCATGCTCTCAAGTATGACTGGGGCTCCTGCATATCCGCCGTTGGTTAGAGGAGGCGGAGCTGACATACCCTGGGACGGATGCATAACTTGACCTTGCTGTGGAGGAGGGTGATGATGCATCCCAGAGTGATTTTGATGCATCATTCCGTTTTCCGAGCCCTCTTGACGCTTGCGTACATCAGACTGCTGGTTTTTCTTAATTTTGTACCTTTTATCATGACTACGGGTGTTGTGAGCCGGAGGTCCGTCCCTTCCATTCATCACATCTCCGTCTAGAAGCCCGTGATGAGAACCGTGATCATAGCTTCCAGTTCGGAACACGCTGAAGTAGGACTGCAGCGGTTTCAGAAGCTCATCGACTACATCGTTTCCGACCACGGAGTTGTTACTAAATGGATCGTGCGGCCGTTCCGAGGAATGGTTTCTGGAAGAAGGACGGCCGACGGTTAACCGATCTTGGTGTAGACGCGCCAGCTCCAGGTGATGATGGTGCATGGTGGCAGATTCATGATCTTCACAATCTGAGCTATCACTGGAGTTTACAAGTAACAAAGACGAACCTACAAAAATATCAATTAAGTATAAAAATAAACATTCCATTCGTAAATATATAAGTTTCTAAAAAAATGTAAAATATATCCGACCTTTCGCAATATCTAGGTATGGATAATCCTTGTTGGTAAAGTGGGTTTTCAATGCCCGGACTGCGGCCTGTTTATCCGCGTAGCTGATACACACCAACTCGTCCGTGTTTCCTCCGCCACCATTCGTCATTCCGACGATTTCACCGAACTTGGCGAACTCGCTACGAATGCTTGGGAAGGACTTAGCATTCAGGTTTAAAAAGGAGATGCTGAAATTAAAAAAATTATAAGTAAAATAATTGTCATCTATTTTTAGAAATTCTGTCAGATTTGTAACTATGATATATCTAATCAATATCTCATAAACATGAAGATATGTTTGACTTCTTTTGAACATTTAAACATGTACTTTTTAAGTAAACCTAGTCCTAAACCAAATCAGACTTTTATTAAGTGAACTCCAAAAACTATCCAATTTGAGCAGCTATTTAATATTTTGTATTTATAGTTTCTGTAAAGTACGATTTAATCTTTATCAATTTATCTTTTTATTCCTCTGTTCAAATCTAACACATCTATTTTAGTTAATAAAAATATCTATCTATACCTGTATAATCCGTACATATCACAGTCAATATCCCTGGGTGTAGCAGGGGACAGGAAGAGATATCTCCCGAACAGTTCAGACATCTCACTCAACGGGAAACTATTCAAACAATTCAGACAGTTCTCCGCTGCCTCCTTCTTCCTGAACCGGACAAACACGTGACCTTTCTGCTTACCCAGAGCACCCCGGACGGACACAACTTCTCCGAACTTGGAGAAATCCGTCCGAACCTTCTTCTCCGAAATTTCTCCGTCCTCGTTGAGAAAAGAAAGGCAGAAATAACCGAATATATCCATTTCCACGTTCCTGTTGAACTTTACTAATCCGTTCTTACCAGGGGCGACGCCCATTAGTGGAGCGGTGATGCGTTGATGCATAATGGGCGGGGGTGGACCAGACATATTGTCAGGTGGTCCCTCAACATGTTGCTGAGAATGGTGGGACAGACGTTGTTGAGATGTAGGAGGAGGACCAGCTAACCGTAGTCCAGGTGGTCCACAGGATGCTTCTCGACTACAGGATCGGTCCCGTAGATTCTTTTGCTCTGAACAAAGAAAGTTGTTGAAATCATTATTTATAAAGAATTCTTAACGTTATTCCTTTCATAAAGACTTCCATGATGAACTTTATAGCGCATTGTCCAATGTCCATGATTTGTTTAAATCTCTTAAGCAAATGAAGATTCGAAAATGCGGCCAATGATTTTCTAGAACTACAACAAGAAACAAAATGTCCTTAATTTCTCTCTTTCAGGTGAAAAAATTGTCGACATTTATTATGATGTAGCGAGTCCATTAATATTTCTTTAATATTTTTTTCATTAATTAATAAACGTATTTGTAGATTCTTTACGAGAGAGATATTACCTGAGGAAGCACGTTCTTGTCTCTGCATATCTCCTGAGAAATCCATTGAATCATTCTCCTTCCCTCCAGACACAACGTTGTAATCGTTCTTTCGAACCGTTGAATTCTTGGAAACCTGATTACATAATATATTAGTAAGTTATAAAAGATTAACTCGTAATTTTTTTGAATAAAAATGAGTTTTACAAAATTGAGAAGATATTTCAAAGTGAGGACATGGATAAGATTGCAAAAAACTTCCAGTTAATGTTCAAAAGAATCAAAATGTTGACAGTCATCTCAATAAGAATTCTTAATGGTAACTAAATTTCAATTGACTTTTTGAATGATTCTAAAAGAAATGAAATTAAGATTTGATTAAGCTGACCTGAAGATGGTATTCCTTTGTTATCAGCATTGTTTCCAGTGCATTGAGAGCACCTTGCTTCTCCTTGTAGGAAACAAACACTCGACCTTTCTTGCAGTCAAAGGTTCCATTCACACAGGCGACAGTTCCAAACTTTTAAAGAAAAAATTAGAAAATTTATCAAATTTGTTTTGTTCATCAATTAATCAAGTATTTAGTTGGGATTGAAAAGTAGGAAAAAAATTCTTACATATTTTTATGGAAAAAGTGGTTAATGTACATTCCAACGCGTAGTTACAATAAAAAACTCTTATTTATACGATAATTTCGTTATAAACATTTTCTTTAATATATATCGAAGCACTATTACACTTAAACTACGGGGGTTAAATGCCGGTTCAAAATTAGAAGTGTATTAAGTATAGATTTTATAGCTTACCTTGCTAAAAATGTACCAAACATCACTTTTGGATAGACACTTGTCATTCACAAATGTTATTGTGTAATATCTAAAATAAATCAATAAATTAAAATTAAATCAAACCATTAAAGGTGTGACATTAATAATACATGTTGGTTGAAGATCCAAAGAAAATAGGAAATACCAATCAAAACAAAAACTCATATTACGTGGGCAAAGTCATTTTCAAAACCAATCATAATAATAAAAAATAATCAATATATAGAAACTGTGCTCGTCTATTTGTCTGTTAGTGTGTAAATGTATACAATAAACGTCAAAACGGCTGAACCGATTGGGCCCAAATTTTGTGTGGGGCCTCGGGAAGGTTTATGGATGCTCAGAATTTCAAAAAGTTGTCTCACAACAATTTTTTTAAACCAACAATAAAATATTATTAAATCGGCAAACTTTATGTTTGTTTTGTTTTATATTGTACAAACAGAAGATGCTAACAGATAAAGCCATAATTAAATGTTAAATTAGAAGATTGGCAAGCATAGTAGATAAAAGAAACATGCTTACCCAAATTTATCAGCTTGAATATCAGAAGGAGGAGCTAAACAAAGGCTGTCGTACTTCCCGACCAGCTCTATGAGGGCCTGCTCCGCGGAGCTCTTCTCTTTGTATCTCACGTAAACATCATCACCAGTAACATCAAAGAGTCCAGGACCACGGACATCAACAACCTCTCCGTACTGGTTGAAATCTTCCATCACCTTACCGATGGTCATCTCCCCGGTCTTGTTGTAGAACTTGAGACAGTAGCAACCAAAATAATCCTTCTCACATCTTGGGAGCGCAAACTTCATATTGGGATAACGATCCTTACGGAAGAAGAATGCTTGCAGCGCCTGCACTGCGCTCTCCTTGTTCTTATAGCTCACGAATACACGGCCACCTTTAACATCTAGAGATCCTGTCAGGTTTTTAACCTCGCCGAACTTGGAGAATTCTCTACGAACCTCACTAGACGGAATTCCGGTTTTATTATAAAAGCTGATGGTGTAGAGACCATAGTTATCAGGTAATACATCTGATATTGAAGCAGGGGTTAGTTGATGATATTTTCCACTTAACTCTTTCAATGCATGCTCCGCAACCCGTCTTTCAATAAACCTAACGTAAACATGGTTTCCTCTTAACCCGGAGAAAAGACCTGGACCTCTCACATCCACTACTTCACCATAGGTTCCAAAATCTTCTATCACTTTCTCTTCGGTTATATGAGTTCCATTCTTAACAATAAACTTTAAACAATAACATCCATAGTAATCTTTTTCAAGTGAACATGAGTTCTCTTCGCTTGATCCGGCACTTCCACTTGAAGTGTTTAACTTTCTAGTTACATAATCGACCGGTACTCCGTGCAGGGTACCGGTACCGGCTAGAGGCACAGAAACGGCCGGCAGCAGGGCTAGTTGCTCTTGGGTCATCATAGTACTTAGGTATTCAGGTAGAACAACATAATACAAGCTGATAGATTCACCAATATCGTGTCTAGTTCAACTAGCATAACCTGAAATAGTTGAAAATTAAAATGACCATACAACAGTATGAACAAGAATAGTATAGACGGACGGGGGCTGTATATATTTAGAAAAATAAATCAAGGAATTGGAGGGAGAAGAGTAGAAATGAACATCAAATGACAATTTTTCCTCCATTGTGATATTTAACACCCAAAAATTCCTTTGCTTCCTCTTCAAATCTCAACAGCAATTTGGACGCCCAACACAAAAATACAAATTGTACTGGGGAAAAAATAATTGTGTCTGTCCTAGAGAACAATTTTATGACGCCCCCCCCTTCATTTTTATACATGAAAACTTGTTTGTTATCAATATTATTATTATCGAATTAAAATTATTTTAGGGTTAGGTCAGGACAATTTCTGGGCCGAGCGCTGCAGCTCGGGCAGAATAGGGGGCCGAGCGCTGCGTCCAAGACAGACTTGGGGCCGAGAGGCGCGGCTAGGACAGGCAAGGGAGTCGGGCGTTGCGGCCACAGGGTCTGTCCTAGTGAACGATTTTTGGCCCCCCCCCCCCTTCTATCAATTTTGTACATTACCATTTATTTTTCAGCAAATTTATTATTATTTATTTTTTTGTTATTTAGGGTTAGGTTAGTTTTGTACATGACCATTTATTTTTCAGCAAATTTATTATTATTTATTTTTTTGTTATTTAGGGTTAGGTTAGGTTAAGATACTTTCTGGGCCGAGCGCTGCGGCTAGGATGGGCTAGGGGGCCGAGCGCTGCGGCCACGGGTTAGGTTAGTTGAGACACTTTCTGGGCCGAGCGCTGCGGCTAGGACAGGCTAGGGGGCAGAGCGCTGCGGCCACGGGTTAGGTTAAGTTAAGACACTTCCTGTCAGACCCATGTGCAAAATTGATAGGAGGGAGGGGAGGGGGGGCACGGGAGGGGGGTCCAAAAATCGTTCTCTAGGAATATACCCGGCCACATGACCATAATGATATCCATCTATGTACAAAATTCCAAAAATTGTTCTCTAGGAAATTTTATAATTATTGAGGAGGGAGGAATGGGAGCTGAATTTGAAGAAAATATATGGCACTAAAAATAAATCAATTACATTTGTATAGTTTATATAGACCACGCTGTTGGTATTATTTAACAAATTTATTTGAGTTAGTACACTAGGGATTTATCCAAAAATCAACTAAATATTTTTAATTTAAAATTGTTAAGCAAACAAGTGCTTCACTGGTGTAAGCTGAAGCGCGTATTAATTGAGTGTATTAACAGAAAATATCCATTTAAACAGTCAGGAAAAAATTTCTGTATTAACGCGAAACCATCAGACTTAAACTTGTTTAACACGTCTAGGATACGCCATAGTAAAATTAAACACTGTCACATCAATTTAAACATACAATTTCTACACTGGAAGCGAATGACAAGACAAAATTTCAATAGAACATTATTTTGACTTTTGAGAATAATGACGTAATTACAAACGTTTTGAATTTGTCACTCTTAAATGCACAATTCACAATCTAACTGGGAAATATTATTTTCCACAAATATTCTAAATAATTTCACAATTTCAAGAATGTACTTATTAGAGTCTGTAACAGTCACTAACAGGTTTAGTTTTAAAAAAATATAATTGACGTTTGTAACCACTATGAAGCTAAATGTACGGCATTACAGCACTAAACTCTGTGACAACTTCGTAGACTGATTCCCGATACAAGCGGGAAAAGTTAAAATGGCGTCACTCCCCACCCTACCGCACGAACGGTGAAACATTTTTATAATTGTCGTCTTCTTTAAACAATAAGTTTCAAGGCGTCGTTCCTAACTTGGCGGAGGGGGGGATAGATAAAACTCCTAAGAATGCGCGATACCGGATAATATTTCTTTAATTCTCTCTCTCTATGACAGCTTGCCATGACAGCTTGTTTCTATAGATAGTACGGGTTAAGGATGGTTATTATGAATCTGATACAATAAGGTTGATTTTAATTTGATACGAATGT